CCCTGATATTTTTTCGAAAATTTTTAATTTTTTAAATTTCAGTGAGTACCTCCTCAATTGTTATGCTCCCCTGATACTTTTTCAAAAATTTTGAATTTTTCAATTTCAGTGAATACCTCCTTCATTTCCATGCTCCCCTGATACATTTTTGAAAATTTCGAATTTTTTAATCCCAAAAGGATTTTTTCAATTCCAGTTTGGAATCAAATGTAAAGTATATTTTTGTTGGGCAAAGATATTTGTTTATGAGTTTTGATCGACAAATCATCTATTACAGAGTAAAATCAAAGAATTGACTTGCGTCAAATCGAAAAGTCAGAATGAAAGAGAATTGTCAATGTACCTCGATATTTTGAAGGGAGTGAATTGCACAGAATTTTTATCGCAAATAGCAAGAAGCGGGTGTAGTGGAAAAATATCTCGTAAACAACCCTAGTAGTTCCCCAGACACTTTTTCAAAGCTAGGGTTGCCACTGCGATTTCCCAACCCATCGCTGATAACACGAAACTCACGATAACATTCGCTGGGTTAGTCATTCCCCCAAACCACTCACTATCAACCTATATTTCATGGCCGTTTCATTCTTCTTGGCCCAGTAGCAACGATTCCTATCTCTCACCTGAGAACTATACTAATAGTTACAAATGCATGCGATGAACTTTTTTAAATCAGAGATGGATGCGCGTGATTAATTTGTTTCAACTACATGATGGGTGGTAATAAATCAGGGAATTTTATGGAGAATTTAATGAAGCATCTATAGAGTGAATGGCTTCTGTCATTCCACATCAATCATCAGACGGTGATGGTGATAAGGGAGATAGAATAACGGTGAAAAGTTAATAATTTCAAACTTTTGCTGTGAGAATTTCGTGTGTGCATTTGGGGCTGTGCTGTTGGAAGATAGCTTGTGGATATAGGGCTTTTCAAACCCGTATAAATCGCTCGTCTGTACTTGTCGCTAACGACTGGTGCTAGATGATAAGATGCACTCCGGAATGTCGGTTGCTTTGGAGAGGTTATCATCAAAGGAATTCACACGTTGAAATTCTTGGAGTTTCTCAATTGTACTTATTGTTATAGTTGCCGTATTTCACCGGTTGAAGAACAAAGGATTGTTTACGTGGCTGAGTATTGTCTTCTTTTCCTGGGAGATGGTGGAAAAATGCGGAGTCTTTGACGATTTAGAGGCAGTGGTTGAAGAGGCTGATGCTCAGCCAGATATTTTCCTCGAGGGCCCAATTCTTTCAACCAATTTTTTAATTAAGAGAGCGCATTCATGTTTTCTCCACAGCCAGAGAAAAGAATTTTTATGTAAAAAAAATGTGGCGACTGGGAATCAGGAAGATTTATTCTCGTTTTTAGAGCGGGTATTTCCAATTTCCAATTTTCTAGATCATTCAGAAATTTCTTTTCTCTTATTTTTTTGTTGTGATTATTTCTTGGAGAGTAAGAGATCCTCCATTGTGCATGAACATGGTTATCCAATCCCGTTGGTACCTCAAGTTATTTGTGTATTAAAATACTTCATGGTTGGCAGTGAGCCAGTGATATCACAGCCGATATCACTCGCAATATAATTTCGCGAGTAACAGCCATCCACTGAGTATTTCTCCCTCTCTTTATGCAAATGACAAATAGTGTGAGAGACATTATGCATTGAAACGATAAAGCGCATAAAAACGGTCGACCATTTGTTTTCGCGGAGTTGTAGCCTCTTAAACTACTCCCTCATGATTCCCCATGATATCTTCGTACATGGAGAGCATTAAGTCAACCATTTCCGGAAATTCTCGAGAGATCTGCCAGTTTTATTCGATATGATAAGCACTAAAGAGATGTTTATTTGGAATAATTCCAGTAGATGACGAGGACCATAACGATATCGTAAAATTTATAATATAAACGGAATAGGATCTTCGGAATATCGCTGAGTAGGCGGCGCAGATACCTGAGGAGCATGAGAAAAAAATTATACAACGAGACTTGAGGCTCAGCTGGATTGCAAGATTGTTTGTAGAACAAGGGAGAACGTAAGGGTTTCAGGTCACGTTCAGAATGGTGGGAACTTGGACTGTGCAGAATTACGCAGCAAACTTTGCACCCGGTGAGTTGACAATTACATATAACGAAATTCTCGGGTGAAAGTTACTATCAGGGTTATCTCCTTGGCGTAGTGCGGGATAAGAATTCATTTGCATTGCGGAATATCTGCGGTGAGAAAAAAAAAATTCACCAAGGATTCATTTACTTGAGAGTGGGATATATTTTCAGAGAATATCCCAAGTAATCTCGACTAGGTCGTAACAATGATAATTGTTTCGAAAAAAATAATTGTTCATGTTTTATGATGTGTTGCTCATTATTAGTTGAATTTTTTATTTTTATTTTTTGTTTTTATTGTTTATTGTTTATTTTTATTTTTATTTCTATTTTTATTTTATTTTTATTTTTTACATCATTTGTTTTTTACTTGGATTTTTGGAGAATCTCCATTGAGTTCATTAATCGAACGATCGGTTCGAATTTTTTTTTCCCCAGTGTATATATTTTTTTCAAACAAGAGGAGAGACCATTCTCGATTCGATTCTCAATGGCACCTATTCGCCATTGACCCTCAGGACAGAGAATTTATCTCTATATCGGGAGATTCACCTCACGATTTGTTCGAGCCGCTCACGACTCCTCGATTCTCCCAAATTCTCCGGAGTTTATTGTTACCTGCAGTTCTTGAGCTGGACAAACGACCGAGAGCTGCCCATGGGAATCTTCGAAAGTTAGTTTGCGATAAGTCTTCTGTCGTCGTTCGGCGGGTGATCAGGAGAACTTGACAGTTATAATGTTGTTGATAAAACTCTTGGCTCAAACTTCCAAATTAATTTCGTTCTTTTGACAGATCACGTTCGATTTCATCATTATTCTATGCATCATACTGGGGTGATACAGAACTTGGAATCCAGTTCAATCCCCAGTCGGGACTGTTGATTCGTCCTGGGAAATCACGGACAAACGAACATTACAGATTTTCGTTCTTTCATTTTCCCAATTGTTCGCGATGAAGAATGGCACGGCAACAATCTAGGTAATGAGCTACGACTCGTTGTTTCTGAAGCGGCACTATGGCCCCGTGAAAAGTTAATTGATAAGAAATCCTCAGAACAACGCTTTGCAATTCCATTGCAAGGAGTTTGTCAATACAGAGACAGGATGGTACTCCACCCGATTCAATATATTCAGTTATGGTAAATTATTCAAGGAAAATATTTCTTGTTTCGTGCTCTCTGAGAACCAAGAGGAGAAACTATGGAGCGTGGCTTGAACCGTCGTAAAATTCGAAACACTTTCATGAGAAATATTGGCTCTGACTAGTTGAAAGTAAATAGAGTTTGAAGATATCACTGACTACGTAGTCGAGAACAGTGTTATGAGTGTCAACACCCGGGTCTTCTGAAAAGCTCATGAAATCAAAAATGTTTTTGAGTTGTTTTGATTTATAAAAAATGCAGTGGAGCATATCGAAATAACACAATTTCCTTGATTAAACGATTTTCGCTCCCCAAAGATGCTCCTTGAAACGCCAAAACTTCTGCAATAGTTGAATATTCAGTGTTTCCAAAACTTGTCCATGACACTGCAGTTTGGCAAACGATATAGCTGACTCTGGACAATTATGTCAGCAATTGGTGGCTAAAGGATATCAGGTGGATAAGGCAATGGCACTGCTCACCCGAATTTTGGACGCTTTGGAACAACGACGCACGATGGTCTCGATAAAATTCACCCAGAAACTTGGCACAATACGTTGTGCAGCCAGGGGTGAAGGTAACTGACAAAACAGTTCGCTGGATCTTTTCAGGAAGATGTAGAAGCTATTCGTGCTAGTGCTTTTACGGAGATTCACTGCACATTTGGGGAAATCCGAGACACTTGGGAGGCCAGGTCGAATGTCGATTTCCAGGGAGACAAAAGGAGAATTTCTTGGCGTATTTTTCGGTGGTGAGCAGAACTTGAAATGATAATTAATTATGGCCATGGCTATTTGCTTATTTTTTGCTTACGAATGGAAAATTTATGATCGCTATTTTTTTGGCAATTTTATCAAATCTATGAGATGAGGGTAATTTGGGGGAATGTATCATAGAAATCTTGAATTTGCGAAAAGAAAAAAAATTATTCCAGTGGAAATAATATTTTTATCAGTAACTCTCGTGTAACTATTTAATTTTTTCTTTACGGAAGTTAAAATTTGAA